CACCTAACAGACCTGCGTGTTTGTGGTTTGTTATTGAGTCACTAAGCTCATAGTCTTACTATTCTGGATACTCAGGTGATTAGTGTGTACTCGTATATAGCCAATAGCACAGCTAGTGTTTGTAACTTCCCAAATTATCTAACATATCAGACTTTAATTAATTTATTTATTGATAATACATAGAGTCTGTGTTAGTTTTAAAAGCAATCCATGCTCATTTTTGTTCTCATTGTTAAATTAGGAATTTAGGGAAATTTCTTGAGATTAAAGATTAAAAACATTGTGCATGTGGAAAGAAATGAAAAACTCCTGTTGCAGCACTGAGGAAATTCTAATGTGCTTTAGGCTCAGAGCAATAGATTCAGAGCTGGAAACGATTGAAAAAAGTTCTCCCTGGTGTGAAGTTTTCTTAAAAAGAAATAATATGTAATTATATATATATATATAATATGTATTTACATATTACTGGGGAACACAGGTTTTCTAATAGTGTGATGAATTTTGAAGATGGTACAGGGAAAAACATCCAATATAGAAAGAGTGCTGGAAACTCAGATTGGATTAGAAACACTGGAAGAGGTGTGTGTTAGGGCTTAATCAAACAGCTTTAATAACTGCTGTAACTTCTAGCTTAAAAAATAGAAATATGTAATCAGATAATAGTATAGTAACAGTAAAGACAATGCACAGATTACTGAGGATGGTAACAAATGGAAGACAGTCTGGAGAGAACCAAGAGTGTTGGAAACTCAGATTGGATTAGAAACACTGGAAGAGGTGTGTGTTAGGGCTTAATCAAACAGCTTTAATAACTGCTGTAACTTCTAGCTTAAAAAATAGAAATATGTAATCAGATAATAGTATAGTAACAGTAAAGACAATGCACAGATTACTGAGGATGGTAACAAATGGAAGACAGTCTGGAGAGAACCAAGAAGCAGTCGGTTAGCAGGAATTGACTGATATGCCCTAACCTTGAACTCTGAAGCTGTGCTGAAGTATTACGTTTGGTACGGGGAGCTGAAGCAAATGTTCAGAAATGTGGGAACATCTGAGGCGTGGGGGAGCGAACTGGGTCTTCGGCCAGCCAAAAAGTTTGTCGAAAGATGTGCGAGGGAACTGAAAATCTGAGAAGAAAAGGAACGTCTTTGCAGTAGGAAATGAGAGGGATGGCATCGAGAGATCATTGTGCATCTTTTATTAATAAACTGTTCTTTTAAATGTGAACAGGCTTGCTTCTATGGTGGCTGCATGTGCATTTTAATGCATTTAAATTATGAGAGGTTTAAATGCATTTTCAAGTTACAATTAAATGAAAATTTAAAATAAGACTGACAGATTGCTAAGGCTAAGCCAGTTTTATGATTAGGGTTCAATTAAATTATATTTATCATTGCAGCAAATGAAGTATAAAATCACAAACAATGATATTTTTCAGTGGCTTGCTTTGGTGGAAACTGTAGCCTGAAGTATGACTTCGAGACTTTTATCTTCCATTCCCTCCTAAAATAGAAATTAATTAGGGCTAAACAAGAGTTGGCTGTATGCTCAGAACCCTATCCTGAGAGTCTTTCGTGGACCAATGGTCCAGGATCAATTTACTAAGAAAACTGTTTTGAGATGCAAAGTGTTCTGTATTTTATTTGATTTTACCTAGACAAGTTAGAGGGAAAAGTTGAAATTTTAATAGTAGTTTTAAAAAATGAACAGTTTTTTTTTTTGCTTTCCTGGAAGCCACTTTGGGCTGTTCGCACTGTCTAAGAAAATATGCTGGTTGATTTGGTTATATAACATGTGAGTCTCCACGTCGTTCTGTTAAACTCCTTAAATACAGTCACGTCTCTTGTCATGTACCTTCTATTTAAATCTCTAAATGTCATAAGCTTTGGAATGATTCAAGGAAAAAATACTTTTTTATACATGCATGCTATTTCTCAATTTCATCTACTGCATCATCCCTTGTGAAACAAGACAGTTTTCCAACTTGCCATGATGCAATGATCTTTCTCCCATATGTATGGCACGGCTCTGTCTTTAGAATGCACAGTGCAATTCCTAATTTATTTCCCCTTCCTTTTAGCATACAGAAATATGCATTAAAGAAACAACATTTTTGCATTCTGTTTCTTTGGTTTGAACTTAGTTACATAATCTAGGACAAAACGTAACAAATGGATTAACTTTGGAAATTGACTGACTTGACTTTTTTGGCATATCTAAAAACAGATCCGCAGCCTCACAAAAAATGATGTTCCTTCCAAAACACCATTCCTGCGCTTTATGAAAGTGTTCCTAGGTGACATTAAGCAGAAAAATTAATTTCAAATCAATTACACATAAAAAGAAAAAATGATAATATATTCAGCGAGAATATTCCAAGAAAGTGATGAGCTGATGTATGACCTTCTTCTCTTTGGGAACATATGTACATGTTCAGCAAAGCTAAGCCTGATCCTAGAGTTAGCACTTGGATTTTCACTGTGTTGCTAATTATTGCAAAGTCTAAACATCTGAGCAGTCGAATACTGAAAGGTATAGTTATTTGGAGAGAATTCAGGTCCTGAGTCAGGGAAAAAAGCACACATTTAGGAGTGCTTTCCCTAGCAAGAGCATTTTAATTGAGAATTCTTTAGGCTGTTAAATTGATGTGTATGAAATCTTGGTGTTGGTCCTTAAGCTGAAGATATTGAAGAAAATTCCTAGGTTCTGGGTTGCCATTTTGGTGTGTCATTATGTGTGTCTGCATCATATTGCCTTTGAGACTTTAGCATCTTAGGAGATCCAATAGGAACTGATTAGCTGAGGTTTCATTTGAGCACATTAGTCCAAAAGACAACCATTAATATCAAGTAGGATTCTTTTTTACTCAGAGTTTCTTCCTTTCTTTCTGTAGGAAAGCCGGGTCAATTTGCTTTTGGGATTGGCAGGTTTCAACTGCTGTTATTGATAGTGTTTGCTGCTGGGGGAAAGGAAACATTCTATAGGTTTTACCAGCAAGTCTGAATCTAATTCTCTGTTTTGGTAGTGATCCGATCAAATTTCAGCTTTATTCCATGAATCATACATCAGATTTATCAAACTTCACACTATCACATTTATGTAGTAATGCCTTGCCAGATATTGGTGGCTCTGATTCCTACTGCAATGAATTAGCTATTTGTAGCCCCCTCAAATTAGCCAGGGGACACATAAGGGAGAACACAGAAATAAGGAAAAGGTCTACTCCAAGGAACTTAGTACAAGAAATCTATTTACCACCCCATAATTTTCCTCATTCATCTTTTTGTTGAAACCTCCTGCTTTACACAAATTTAGGGGCACAGAAAAAGATGTCGAAAATCAGAGGAACCAAGTCTGTCTGAGTAGTCCTTTCGAGCATGTATGACAAAGCATGATGTGATCGTAGCGAATTAGGCACCAAAAGATACTGAACTCTGCCCTTGGTAGGTGGGAAAAATGTCCAAGACAGGGTAAGTCATCAGCAGTGACTTCCAAGTTCCCCAACATCCCTTCATCATAGATCCTAAATATTTTGTAATCAATTGGCCTCTGTGGCAAATTGAAACACCAGAGATGCAGGACTTAGTGTTCAGGAGATAAAAAGGAACTGTCGGAAGTAATTGAGCAATCCCCAACACTATGATAATGTGGGGTTGCTTAATTACACTTGTCTTTGTTCCCTTTTGAAAATAGGATACATCATTCTCTCTTTTCAGAGTCTATACAGTAGCCTAAGTGTGATACCCTAGCAGCTGACTTTGTATAGCTGAACTAATAACCAAGCTTTGCAGAGCAATGACATGCATATTATATCTTCAAAATCTTTTTGTATTTTCTACTGAGAATATTTCATATAAAATAAACTTGCACACGAGAAAGAATAACTTTTATTTAACGCTCTTCATGTTTGAGTATCCCAGATGGTGAATGTCTGAGTCATGACATTCATGCTTGAAATCCAGGAGGATTCTTCTCGAGTGGAAATGTTTTTATACTGCTTTATAATATGTGCAGTAGCGCTATGCATCCTTTTAAGGCAGGGGGAAAGAGGCAAACATTTCAAGTGTTATTATTTAGGAAAGGTTTGACTACTCAGCATGTCTCTTCAGATCTGTTGCTATAAAGAATCAAGGACAATAAAGGATTATTTGGAAATATATTGATGAACTGCCGAAATGTAACCCTGAGTCAGCCAGGCTTTTGATAAATACTGGGAGGTGGAGATGTTGTCATGCAGCATTACTGTATTGCATTTGGTTTATAGTTAGAAAAGTGATTTTTTTTTCTCAGTTTATTTTGGTGTTCTCTTTTTTTACATGATTCTTCCTTTAGGAGGTTTAGTATTAAACACTTACTTTCCTATCCCAAGCACAACTTGCTCTGAGTTATTTAGAATTTGAGTGTTTACCCATGATTAGCTGGAGAGGCATTGTAAGCTCAGGTGGAAAAAAATGCAAGGCAAACTTGTCATCATTGTGTCATAGAGAAAAGAAGCTAAAACTTGAAAATATTAGAAACTAATTTTGGTGATTTCATTTGTATCATGTTAACTCTGTATCTGGATGCTAATTCATATTTCCCCAGAAATCACTGACAATCAGATTGGGGAAGAGGGCTCCAACTGTTGACTGGAAATCTTTTTTTCTTTTCAGAATTGTACATTCTGTAATCCCTACATTAGTCCAAACTTGAGGCACTATGCAAATTTGAAAATCAAAAGTGGTGAATACCTGTTTTCTCTTGTAGACGGAAAAATGCATAAAGGCAACTGAATGGAGGGAATTCTAAATTGTCAAATTGTTCCTGGTTTTCTCTACTGCTTCTCAGATTCTAGTTTGCTGGCAATATAGTTTCATATAGTTTCAATAGATACACTAAGGAAAGTGCTAAGACCAGCTTTAACAGGGTTTTTCTTTTTTTTTTCTTTTTTTTTCTTTTTTCTTTTTTTTTTTTCTCCTCTTTCTCTTTTAATCCCTGTGGGGCTCTGTGATTTTTCATAGCTGGACTAAAGTTGTGTCAACGGGAGACTTGCACCATAAAGACTGAAATGTTAAAGAAAGCTACAAGGAACAGCTTTGAGGCAAGGTTTCAAGCTTTGTCATCACGCTTGAAGAATTTTCTGTTTAATGTACTGTAATGCAGTATTCAATGGGGACAAGTTTAATTGAGTTTTACACAACCCAGTTGGGAGTAGCGCTGCAAGGTAGGTGATGTCTAGGTTTTTAATCTTCCACTCCAGAGAGGCTTGTTGACGAAGTGGTTCTTTCTCTTTGTAAGAAAAAAGGGAAGCATGAGAAATGATACATCCGTGGATAAAACCAATTGGCAACCCCCAAAGGAATGAGGGCGATAAGGCGAATCCAGCACTTGTAAGAAATAAAAGAATCCAACTGTTCATTTAAATGAGAAACAACACATGTGACTGAGGAGGCAGGGAGGCTGGTCGCGGGAGTGGGGAGGAAGAGACGAACGCGCCGAACAGCTGAGGCTGGAGTTCAGCATCCCAGGAAAACAGGCGAGTGTTTTAGTGGATTACAGGAGGGAGAGCTAATAGGGCATATTTTGTAGAAAGAAAAGGAGAGCTGCGCATCTCTCATATCAGCCAAGGTGGATAAAGTGGCAGGAGGGAGGACGCTGCTGTTAGGCAAGCCCTACTTAAAGAATCACTGCTCCTTCCCTGAGGCCTAACGCAGGCTCTCTATCAAACAGTGCAAAAATAGCACTGGACCCTGTCAAAGAGAAAATAATACCTTCTGTGTAAGCTGCAGTGTATTAAAGTCTAGTCCTGTTCAGGTTACTTCTGCTAGAACTTAAGCAGCCGGAGGATAAAGACGCCTCAGACAGCCTGCTGGCCGATCGCCTCCCTGTTTTGGCTCAGCATCGCTGCTAGAGCAAAAATGCTTAATGTTCCCAAAAGCGCTGGCTGCTTCTTCCTCCAGCTTCTGCTCCTGCCCGTGGTGTGCTGTTCTGCACTGCAGCATATTTTAGTTGTTGTCTGTAAGGAGGTACTGATGTTGTTATGTCTTAAAACAGAGATCAGGATCGTTTCAGGTGTCACTCAGTATGGGAGAGCACTGTGTTGGGTGGCTGGTCGTTGGTTTTGCTGACAGAGGGATTTTCCTGCTGTCTCTGGAGTCACTCCCTGGAGGAACCAGTCCACTGTGTTTGGGGATAGTGCTCTGGTTTTTCTCTGCCATCTTAACATGCAATCCCCCAAACTAAGGCGAACAGAGCTCTTGTCCTTCTCAGAAAACGCTGTTGGGAGCAGGGGCGGCCATGGAGGCCTGGGCACGAGCAGCGGCGCTGGTGGGCAATGCCCATGCGGCCTTTGCAGCCCTGGAGCACGGTGAGGGGCATGAGCAACCTCGAGCTCAGCCTCCTGCTTTCACTAACGGTGGCCCAATGCCCTGTCTTCACCCAGAGACGGACAAGCAGCCTCGGCTGCGGGCTGGGAGCTGCAGGCAGATTTGAGCAGGCGGTGGAGAGCCTCGGGAAGCAGCTACTGTGTGGGAGGGTTGGATGTCACCGCGGCAGCGCAGACGGCGACGCAAACGGAGAGCGGCAGCAGCGGCTGCGGCGGCTGCGCTGTGCTCCTCTCCAAGGAACCGGCCGCAGTCCCTGGGAAACTTCTTATAAACACGTGTAGGGCTGAGCAAATAATTCACAATGAATAATTCATCTGACAAGTTTAGCCTTTTTTGTTGTTGGGTTTTTTTCCTGCTCATGAAATATCCATGAATGGATCTACGATGTGTAACTGCAAGCTTTGCAGTGTGTTAGTGTAGGTCTTTTCCTTTTCCTTTTCCTTCTTTTTCTTTTCCTTTTCCTTTTTCCTTTTTTCCTTTTTCTTGTTCTTTTTTCCTTTTCTTTTTTCTTTTTCCTTTTCCTTCTTCTTTTTCTTTTCTCTTTTTTCTTTTTCTTCTCCTTTTTCTCCTCCTTCTTTTTCTTTTCCTTCTTCTTTTATTTAATTTAATTTCTTTGTGTAGCTTAGTGTGAAAAAGTAATTCCTTCTTATTAATCATATTAGCATTTTATATAGTCCAAAAGTAGGCTTTGAAGTTCAGCCCCCAGGTAAGTGAGGGCACTGAAGGAGACAGGTGCTTTTACCTTGCTACAGCGGTTGTTTGTCCAAAAACGTTTTTCAGCGGGCTAACTTTACAAGGACACATCACATTAATTTTTATTTTGGCAGCCACTCCAGTCTGCATAGAAAAATACAGAAATGTCTGTTCTTTCCTGAAAGTAAATATCGTGGCAGTAATATCCTCTGAAGCGCAGCTCTCAGGTGGAGCACTGAGGAGTGGAGAAGAGCTTGGTGAGTGTGGGGCTGCACCCACAACTCCTGTTAAAGCAGTGCATATTTTGCAGGATTTGGTAATATATCTCTTTCTAGAATATATCCCCCTGTGGCCTGACAGTGGCATCCTTTGCCTATACACACAGATTCAAAGTATGGGGAGAAACTCCGTTCATACTGGCTAGTAAAAAATGAAGCCACTGTTTTCACAATGAATTGCTTGTGGTTAAATAAATATGAACTAAAGCCTGGGGTTGTCTGAGGTAAACACTCTGAAAATGTAATATTAGCAGATACTCTCACAGAAGATCCTTAGAGGAGAGATTTCTTTCAATACCTGCTCATTTGTCAATTCTCATGTTGCATTTACAATCAAGCAAAATAACACTATTTACTGTGGACTAAACTCAATATAAGTTTCTGATTTCATTTAAGTTGTAAATTGGAGCTTTTGCAGCCTAGTTAAAAATATAGCTAGAGATTTTTATTATTGATAGTCTTTCTATTTGTTGAATTTCTCCTATGTTTCTCTAATTTTATTTTTACACATTTAAAAGTATAGCCCGAAAGGAATATTTAAGAAATAGGTAGGAGTATAATAAAACTGTGGGGTATTGGGAGGCTGTAAGTGGGACTACTACAACCAAAATAATTCATGTGCTCTTCTTTAAACGTATTTAAGGTTAAAATAGGCTTTGTGGGGATCTCACAGATTCAATATACAGCTTTGCTCAGAAGAACAGCTGTGATGATAGTATCTATCAGGTCAATAGATCTGCTCATTGTCTGTGTTCGGAATTAAATGTGTAAGCTTTACTAGAAAAAAATTGTTCACTGTATTTCATTTTTGATGGTACAGAGGAATTCAATATAGCTAAGAAAGAATTAACTGGATTTTACTCATATACATCCTCATCAGAATTATTTAATAAATCCCAAGCTGTTCTCTACTGGTACAAACCTACTGAGGGTGTCGAATGCCTTCAACAGCTCTCATTAAAAAAGATCTAAATTGGACTTCAGCAGCACTGTAGCTGGTGGTGAGTGAAACAGAAAGAATCCAGCTTGGCTTTCAGAGCCTGCATGGGTTTACAGAACTCCCTGATATTTGCAAGTGGGTCTACTGAAGGTAGATATAATCAGGATGTTCTGAGAAACCCAACCTCTGTTTACAATAGTCTATGACCAAATATAATAAAAATAAATAATTAAATATAATAATAATAATTCTATTTTTTTTCTAATTCCATTTTTGTAGGTATTACATACTAACAAAAATATGTAAGGTTCAAATTTCACTTCAGTCAGCGAACACTGAATGAAGAAACTAGAAAAGAGAAACTTCGGCTTCTCTTCATTCTGAAAGCACAAGACAGTTTTATTTGGTTGTAAGAAAAATAGGCATAAGATAAGGCTTGCCCTCTTTACAAAGCAAAAAATACTGAATGCTCTCAGGGAAGTGCCTGCCTTCCCTAAAAATGCTGGTGAAGGTACATTAGAATACAAGGAAAGAAGCTACTCTTGTAACTCCTCTGCAGTATTCGCAGCTGCCAAGATCCAGAGCACATCTATTCTCATAAGAGAATGGCCAGCTTTGGTGGACATTCCCGAGCAAATGTGGCCAAATCTTGGCAAAAGTGAATCTAAATCGACTTTAATGGAGCTGGGATTTAGCTCAAACAGCAGAGTGTGTCTTGTCTTTTGTCATATTTCTGACCTCGATCTTTTTCAGCATCCCATTTGTAAAAAGTTGTAATTTTGGCCATTTAAGAGCTGGAGCAGAATAAGATCAAGAAACAAAGGATTTTCTGGGTATCATCATCCTGGAAACCTTTGTTCCTCTCGCAGATATGGAAATGCCCTTATAATTGCATGTTTATCTTTCTTAGAAAAGCCCTCATGCACAAAAGAAACAAGAAATCCTCATATATATGTATATATAAAGAATTTTATAGAACCTCTAATTATTTTCTTTTGGCCTTTGATTAGACTGAAGTTTAAAATTTTGGTGAGGTGGGCACCTGCCACTCTACAAGAAGTATCTCTAGCCTTCCTACAAATATATAAACAACAATTTGACAGGGGTCTCAATCCTAATATTTTTTGAAGATTTCACAGTATTTTCACTTTTCATTCCTTTGCATGTCACATCCATACCTGCAATATTCAGGATAATGTGATGTCTTCTCTTGGACATGCCCATCAGAGAAGGTGCCTGTCTGGACATCACCTTAAGCAGTGATGATGGAGAGGAAGGGACTGCTTCTATGTACTGCTATATGTACTGCTTTGGAAGGAAGACTTGGGTTTAGTGCTTTATGAGAGATTGGGGAAACAGAGGAATAGAAAATCGCAGAATCACAGAATGATTAAGGTTGGAAGGGACCTCTAGGGATCACCTAGTCCAACCATCCTACTAAAGCAGGGACACCTAAAGCACGTGGCACAGGACTGCATCCAGGCAGGGTTTGAAGATCTCCAGAGAAGGAGCCTCCACAGCCTCTCTGGGCAGCCTGTTCCAGGGCCCTGTCACCCTCACAGGAAAGAAGTTCTTCCTCACA